TTAGAGAGAATGAGGTAGAAAGAAAACGGAAGGGAAATGGAAAGATGCGTTATCCGACGTGTACTTTGTTTTGGGCGGGAAAGAAAATAAAATATCATAAGAATACTTTTTTTTTTGGTCACAAGAATTATCCTAAGAAAGATTATGTTAAGAAATGAAGATAATAAATAACGTCCCTTTTTTTTCTCCTGTCGACAAAAGCTTCCTCTTCACCTCAGCTTCCTCATGATTTCAGATCGGATCGGTGTCGGTGGCTCCGTTAGCACTGATGCCGGTCCCCGTGTTTCTATTTTTTTTTCTCTGTTTTATCTTCACGTTTTGACCATAGTGAGAGCTTTTATTCATGTGGATCGAGATATGTTTCGGTGAGTGTGGTTCCGGTGATGGTTCGGGTTGGTCGGTGCTTTTGGTGGTGGCTTGCGATGAAGGTGTTAGTGTATCCATAGATCAGGATGATGCATGTTTTCTACTCACAAGAACCCCTTGTGCCTTTCGATCGATCGCTTTGTTCCGTGAACGGTTTGCCGGATTTCGAGATCTCAGACTTTGTGGGTACTCTCTCGTGTGTGGATCTTTTTTAGGTTGATGGCTAGATTGTTTGTGTTTAAATTTGTGTATCGTGGAGCTAGTTTTCTGCATTTTCCTTGTGGATTTCATCTCTTTCGGTGAATTATGGGGTATGTGACATTGGTGGTGGTACTTCGGTTTGGTAAAAGGTGATTCAAGCTATGCGGTTTCCGGTTTTTGAAGAGGAAGACCGTTTCTAGACTCAATTAAGACTGTTTGGGTGAAGATTGCTCTTTCAATTTCTGTTGCAACCCTGGCTTGGGTGGAGTTTTATCTTGATTATTACCCTTGTCTTGGTATTTATAATTTGCTCATGCTCTATCATCTAGAGGTGGTTGTTCTTTTGCTTTGTGGAAAGGTTTCAATCCCACTTTGTACTAAAAAAAACTGTTTGTTGGCTTGGTTTATGATTCTTTTTGTGGGCTTAGTTTCTAAGGAAAAGATGATTTCCGTCGGCTTAGTTTTCGGCTATGTTCACTTATCTATTATATCAAGTTTTAATAAAAATTTCAGATGCAAAAAAAAAAAGATTATGTTAAGAAATTAGCTACCACGTGGAACGCTAATAACCACACAAAACGGTGACTCAATAAATGTAGGATTTTGTGAAGAT